AATCAATATTTAGCACTTCTAATTGTCCACCCAACGACTTCTTATATAAAAAACCCTAAAGAAACCCTAAATTATTCCCCAAGAAATATCATTAATTAGTAGCCATCATAATCAATTAAACCCGAAAGTAGGAAGCAAAAAACATCTCATTTGTGTCCCTTTCCCAACTTCGAAAGTCTTTCGTAAAACGGCCATAACTTTCTCGTTGTTTATCAAAATTGGGCATATGACCTATCGTTGCAAAGATCTTAAAACAAGCTATATATCACCTCCAACTTGAATCACCTGAAGATCACTTCTAGATTGAGATATATATGCATTTGAAGTTGATCCTTTGCCATTGCACTAAATTTCAAGTGACAATTAACATACCTCAAACAATATATTTGATTTCAAGCAATAGAAATGGGAAATAGCAAGGATGACGTCATGAAAAGGAAGATAGGATAATATTGACATTTTGATGATTTTGATCAGATGACATGACAGCCAAATGACAAGTTGAATACTTGGTATAATTAAGTGAGCGTAAACGAGATGGATGTCAAATTCTTGATTGGGTACGTATGATTATTCAGATGATTCTAATGTATTCTTCTAACTTTTGACTACCATAATTTTTTAAAATGGACAGTTGAGATTACTTATGTTAAAGGTGTGGTTTCAATTTGGGTTCATCCCACCTTGCTCGTCAATCTTTGTGTAATGCATCTTATCTGGATCAATCCACACTACAGCATAGATGGGGGCTCTAGGGATTCACCGTAACTTATGGTTAACTCAATATCGCATAATGATGACTCGCTCACTATACTTGTTGATGATCCTACCATCCTTGTTGATATTGATTACTCAATACTCTTCGATCTCCGATCTTCGATCTCCGATCTCCGATCTCTCTCTGGGGTTTACTATTTTATTTTTACAACCTATAATTAATTCTCTCTCATGTATATATACAAGCTAAGAGACTCAGGTAAAAAATAATTTATATAAAATATATATGTACTAAAAAAAAGGGGATATTCTATTTGGTGGCCTCGTGGTTTTAAAAATTCTACGTAGAAGACGAAATTTTTTCCAACTCTCTTCAGTGGCACCAAGGTTTAGAAAAATCTACATAGTGACCTTTTTTAGGTTTATGGTTAACCTTTTTAGCTAAAATGGTTAACCTTTTGATTTTTTTTTTAAATAAATTAATTTAAAAAATAAAATAAATAAATTAAAAAAATAAAAATAAATAAATTTAAAAAAAAAAAGCCAGCCACCATCAACTACCACCCTTCCTCCCTGCCACCACCAACCCCACACCCGCCGACGCCCAGACCCACCTTCCCCGGCGTGCAGGCCTTCCCAGCCGTCGCCAATCCCCCCTAAACCACCACCCCATCCCCAAAACCCCCTCCCTCTCTCACCGAAACTCCATTAAAAACCCTTCTCTCACCTCGAAAACCCCAACCGGCCCTCCTCCCACCTCGAGAAAACCCGTCGACCCTCCCCCCACCACCGCGCCACCACAAACCAGCAGCCACACCTCTCAATAAGCGGCAACAACCACAAATCGAAGCAACAAAGCATAAACCCGTCGCTGCTTATTGAGAGGTGTGGCTGCTGGTTTGTGGTGGTGCGGTGGTGGGGGGAGGGGCGACGGGTTTTCTCGAGGTGGGAGGAGGGCCGGTTGGGGTTTTCGAGGTGAGGGAAGGGTTTTTAATGGAGTTTCGGTGAGAGAGGGAGGGGATTTCAGGGATGGGGTGATGGTTTAGGGGGGATTGGCGAAGGCTGGGAAGGCCTGCACGCCACGAGGGTGGGTCTGGGCGTCGGCGGGTGTGGGGTTGGTGGTGGCAGGGAGGAAGGGTGGTAGTTGATGGTGGTTGGCTTTTTTTTTTTAATTTTTTTTTTAAATTAATTTATTTAAAAAAAAAAATCAAAAGGTTAACTATTTTAGCTAAAAAGGTTAGCCATAAACCTAAAAAAGATCACTATGTATATTTTTCTAAACCTTGGTGCCATTGGAGAGAGTTGGAAAAAAGTTCGTATTCCACGTAGAATTTTTAAAACCACGAGGCCACTAAATAGAATATCCCAAAAAAGCTATAAAAAATATATAAGAGTTTTAGGTGTCATAGGAATATGATAACACAAAAAAAAAATCTATATTTATATGCATATCCTTAGAGAATCTATATATAATAGATAATAGGAAACGATTTATTATCTTTTAGGTTTTTTTTTTTATCATATGTATTACGTACATGTTATCCTAGTAAAATGAGTAGCTGGGTAGTCATATTAAGATTGAAAATCTTTCATCTTTGCGATTAAATTTTCATCTTTTGTTTTTCGATGTAAAAATTTCCTTCAGAAGTTTCTTTTTTGAAAAAAAAATATAAAAAATAGAAGAAGATACAAATTATGTAAGATTTATTGTGCGTAATTCTTGTTAATGTTGCCAAAAGTCCCAAAACACATACCTTATGCATATCCATCTATAAAATGTAAAAGATCATTACTTATTTTATATGATTAATTAAAACAATTTCATCATGTAATGATTTCCGAAAATAAAAGTTTTAAAAAAAGAGTTTTTTTTACAAAAAAAAAAAAAAAAAAAAAAAAAAAAAAAAAAAAAAAAAAAAAACTAACTAATAATAAAAAGGAAATTTTGAATTTTAACACCACAAAAAAAAAAAAAAAAGTTTTTGACACTACAAAAAAAAAAAAAAAAAAAAAAAAACTTTTATTTTAACACCACAAATTTTTTATAAAATTTAATTTTACCACCACTTAACGATTGCCGTCCAAAAAACCGTTAAGTGGGGTCCATTGTGCCACGTACCATCATATTATTAGTTTTTTTTAAAAAAAACAAAACCCTAAACTAATGGGCGACCGTTTTTCAAACCACCCAAAATCGACCACCATCAACAGCCACTAATGGTCGAAAACGACCAGTTTAGGGCCTAAGTGGTCATTCTCGACCATAAACCGCTCGTTTTCGACCCTAAGAACTCGTTTTTTGTGGCGGTTTTGGGTGGTTCGAAAAATGGCCACCCGTTTTTGGTGGCCGTTGGGGCAAGGTTGTCGGTTTTAGTGAGGGGGAAAGGGAGGGGGCGTAGAATCCGGCAGATTTGGCTGGGAACGGAGGTGTTTGGGTGGGGCCGTGGCCGACGCCGCCCAGTCGTCGGTGGGGATGGGGTGGCTGGGTTAGTTTAGGGTTTTTGTTTTTTTTTTTTTAATTTTTTTTTATTATTTTCTTCCAATAATATGCTGACACGTAAGCAATGTGAACCTTACTAACGGATTTCATCCATGAACAAGTTAAGTGGTGATAAAAGCCATTTTTTTAGGAATTTTGTGGTGTTAAAATAAAAGTTTTTTTTTTTTTTTTTTTTTGTTCCTAGTGTTAAAATTCATTTTTAGACTTTTTTTATGGTGTTAAAATCTAAAATTTCCTAATAAAAATAAAAATAAAGACACACTAAAATTTGACACGTGTATCTTTTAGTATATAGACATATAGTCATTGATGATTGATGGTGGATTACTCCTAAAAGACGCTCAATGCCAATACTAAGTGGTAATGTAGATTAACTTAATCGAATTGTGTAAAAATTTCAACTACACCTCCGTTTTATATAATTTTTAATTTTTAGTTTTATTTATTAGATATAAATATTTTAAGATTGCAAATAATATGAAACAAAGATAGTAAAATGTTTCCGAAATAACCATATACATTAATCGGCTCATGATTAAGCTTAATATTCCTCAAGAAGTCAAGAGAGTGTCAATATGCTCATAAGTAGTCACCAACATTAAAAGTGTGGGCTTATAGAACTTGAACTTGGGCCACACTAGACCCAACACTAACTTTACTCAAGAACCTGCTGATCGCAAATTTTTAGCTGGTCCCGAGTTTAGTCATTTCTGGCTGGTCCCTCATTTTAAAATGAACATTTAATATAATAAAAATGAACTTTTTCCGGCTATAGGATATTTTTTCTTACAAAATTAAATGTTCATTTTCATACTATCAGATGTTCATTCTTATAATATTAATGTTCACAATTTTAACAATATATGTTCATAATTACTAACTTTGACTACTCTGTCACTCAATATCTTAAAGTATTCCCACTTTTCCATTTCTCAACACAGTAAGCTCAACAACACCCACACAATCCGATAAATTAATTCTGAAAAAACCCCACCAATTTTTTTGTCATCGTCTTCTTCCAAATCCACCACCATTTTCTCTCTCCAAACCTTCAAATTCATCCTAATGGCGGCAACACTACGAGCCACATCCTCCGCAATATCACGAACGGTCACCTCCAAAACTCCGCCATTGATGGTGGATCCGGCACCTAAAGACCCTATTCTTGGTGTCATCGAAGTTTTCTTGGCCAATCCTTCTCCTAACAAAGTCAATGTTTATTTTATACGAATAAACATTATAGTGCATGAAATTGAACATTTATTTCATAAGAATGATCATCATACTACATGAAAATGAACATTTAATTATTGAAAAATACAAAATTATTGTAAAATATGTTCAGTTAGAAAATGTTCATTTTTGTTATAATAAATGTTCGTTTCTAAATGAGGGACTATGAATATGTACCTGGTCTCAAAACCAGCCTTCAACAATTGCCTACTGATCACATTGTTTTAGTGAGCCCGGCCCAACAGTACTTAGGTGATCATGGCAGCTAAGCTTCATTAGAGCCGATAAATGTGTCGCGTCAAATTGTTTTCGTGTTCGTGTCATAGATAAAGGGATTGCGAAACCTAAACACTAACCTAACCCATTTTGTCAAACATGTAGTGCAAAGTCATGTTGGCCAACTTAATTAAACGGATCGATAACCTTTAAGACTAATCCCTTTTTTTCGGATCTAGTTCGTATTGTATTGTCATACTGTGTACGATAGATCAAGTTAGAGTTAGACCTGGTAAATGGGTCATTCGGGTCGGGTCAATTTCGGGTCGGGTATGTGTCGGGTCAATTTCGGGTCGGGTCAATTCGGGTTTCGGGTATAACTTAGGTCAAGTATCAGGTCAGGTCAAAATCGAGTTGGGTCATGTTCGGGTTGTTCCATTTGTGGATCAAGCTTTGATAATTTTATATCTTGTTATTGTTATAATAATAACTATCAATTCGTTTTATGAGCTTGGCTACGGTTGGAGATGATCAGATGAACAATTTCAGTCATTTTTGGCACCATACATTTTTAGTTAAGTTATAAGGTAATTTTAATTCAGGATATTTCGGGTTTCAGGTCTGTTCGGGTCAAACATTTTGGGTCAATTTCGGGTCAGGTCAACTTCGAGTCGAATCAGTTCGAGTGTTGGGTCAAGATTGGGTCAAATTCATTTTTGGGTTGGGTCGAGCTAATTTCGGGTTTCGGGTTGATTTTTTGGTTCGATTTCGGGTCACGGGTCGGGTCATTCAGTTCGGGTCATCGGGTGCGGGTCAGGATTGTCAGGTCTAGATCAAGTTGGCCTCATACTAAAGATTTAGAATCAAGTATCGATCATTTTTATCAAGACATTGATTATTTTGTCCCAACCTTTTTAATTGAACATATCGTGTTGTATTGACCCATTAAATTAAACTGGTTGTAAACACTTAACATTAATCCACTTTTTTTTTTATATCCGGTTTGTGTCATATTATCGTATCTTGTCAATTTTTGATGGCTCTAGCTAAGCTAAGCTACGAAGTAACTGTTAGATCCATGGTTTGAATAAGGCTAATATTTTCAGATATTTGAAACTTGCAAAAATCTCTTATTTTTCTTATATTACATTATAAAGTTTGTTGTAACATACATCATTAATTCATGACATCCATATCATGTTTGATCTACTCGAGTTAGACTAAAAATTTGAATCTTAGAAATCAAAATTTTGTCAAGCCTACTTTTCCATATGCTCAAGGTTAAGAATTACTTGTACAGTCGTACATACATATATGTCACACATCGAAATCTAAGCTACTTGCCTACTTGCTCGCTCTTCTGTTCTTCAACAATTGTACCTTGAGGCTTTTGTTTACCTTGGTGCGGGAGGAATCACAATTTGAGTTATAATCAGTCATAAATCTCTACAAAAATTTTATACACTGTTTCTATATCTCGTCGAAATGCTTGGATGATCTACAGAGAAATTCCTTCACCAGCTTTGAGAATGCAGTTGAACTGTCTTTCAACAATTCAGAAGGAGAGTCATACTCGGCGATCCTGCCTGCATTTATCAATCAAATTTGCAACATTTCACTCAGACAAATAGACAATACAACCCGAAGTACATACATAACAACAGGCTACAGCATTTATCAATATCAGTGTTGTTAATGGATTAAACTTTAAGCAGAAAAAAAATCTTGTACTTCGTATTAAACTTACCTTGATCGAGAACCAAGACAAGATCATTGTCAATGACTGTAGGTATCCTGTGCGCGACAGTAATTACAGTACATCCGCTTGTTTCCTCTCTGACAGTCTTCTGAATCAGATTATCAGTTGCAGTATCAACAGATGCAGTAGCTTCATCCAACACTAGGATTCTCCTCCTCTGTAGAAGCACTCTCCCTAGACAAACCAACTGCCTTTGCCCTACACTCCAATTTTCTCCATCTTCAGCAACTGTCACAATTAGCAAAGATTTCGTGAGAAATACGAAGAAAGTTTTAAACATATATATCCTGAATCAGAAAGTTATAATACCAGGGGCATCAAGAAGCCGTGCATCCTGTCTTATAATACTAGCAAGACCGTGGCACTTGTTGAGTACCTGCACAAGTTGGACATCATACAGGTTATTATCGTTCTCTTCTTTAAGACGAAATGTACAATTTAGGGAATACAGTTAAGCTGTTATGTACCTCCCATATCTGTTGATCAGAATGCTCCTCGAGTGGATCCAGATTGGCCCTGACATTTCCTTGGAAGAGAGTAGGGTCTTGGGGTATAATACTTAGCCTAGATCTTAAATCTTTCAGCCCTAACATACAAATATCGAGTCCATCAATGAGAATACGTCCCTGTAAAGGATCAACCACTCGAAAAAGGGCTTGTATAAGAGTTGATTTTCCACTGCCTGTTCTTCCAACAACTCCAACTTTCATCTTTGCAGGAATGGTGCAGGTGATCCCTTTGAGCACCATAGGAAGAGCAGGGGAATACCGGACATGCAGGTTCTCAAATTGAATAAATCCTTCAGTAGGCCAGTCTAATTCAGGCCTGCAGTCTTCTATAACCGATGGAGCTTCACTTGGTAGTTGTGCAAAGTCAAGAATCCTTTCGACTGAGATCATTTTGTTCTCCACATTACATAAGTTCCATATTATCCAAGCTTGCAGGACATTCATATTTAGTCCATACGTGGCAGCTAGTCCTGACAAGCCTAAAATCAGACACACAAACCATTAATCAGAAAGTAGCATTAGAAGCCATCAAAAGGGTGCACTATGTTATTTTACTGGAAAACAAGTAGTAAGATGTTTTGTTTGTTAAAGTTAGCTCAGTTATCCTATGTTAAAGCGCAACATATAAAACATAGACAAATGAAACGGGTGAAGAAGCTTACTTGGATCAATAGCTGATCTTGGCAACATCACTAAGATGACTAGAACAATGAAGAACACCAAATTGAACAAAAAGTTTATCCTAACAGAAAGCCATTCCATGGCAGCGATGTTGTGGAAGGTAACTCGTGAATAATCATTCACCAAACTAAGAATTTTCTCATAAAAGCGGACCTCTTGATTGAAGCACCGGATAGTTGGAGAACCCACCATACTTTCTGAGTAATGGTGGAGAATAGGAGACTTTCGAATACCAACCATTCTGGCCAGCTCCCTCGCAGTTGTTATATAATATGCCTGCAGCAGATTGGAGATATCATCAGCTTTGCAATGCATATACTAAGATAAGCATACAAATTCACAATATCACATTGTTTGCTTACCTGATACCAACAGGAGATGGAAATAACAGCAACAAAGACAAGAATAATTTGCCAAGCAACTTGGGACATGAGAATAATTATACTAAGTAGTTGAATTAGGGCAAATACTAGTCCAGCTAATCTGTAAGGGATGTCCATATCCACGGTACTTTGGTCTGTAGAAGACTGCAAGGGAGAAGAAACCGAAATAAGGAGTCAGAAAATACACGAGAGCTGTATAACACTATGATAACTAGTTTTAGTAGATTTGTTACCCTGCTGAGTATTCTACTGGTTGGTGTGAAGTCGAAAAAAGATATGGGAGCACGGAACACTGATTTGATCATACTGAGGAACATCTGCTGTGCAGTCTCGATGGAAATCGTGGAGAGAAATATAGTCCTCCCTAATATAAAGACACAACTTCCACCCGAAAGCAAAACAAAAATAGCCATCAGTTGTTTATGGCTGACTCGACCCTCTTCCTCTGTCGCCCAAGCAAGCCAGTAGCTGCTACCCATTTGTAATCCCTGAAAAAGGATCTGACATAGCAGGATGACTGGAACTAGACCTCCTCTGTATGCAGCAGTTATGAAAGTCGAATATACATGCCAATTTACTCGTCCTCTTACAGCTTCCTCTTCATTGCTCTGTGCTAGCTTATCATACTGAATCGAGCATGGAGAGTTTTCTTCTATAAGTTCTGCCAGAGGAACTGAAGATGATTTTGCAGTTGAATTATGAAATACACCATCATTGGTATTCACTTGTTCTATTGATTTTTGGTGAGCATCCATTTGTCTGACAAGTTCACCATCTGGGTCTGTAATCAAATCTTCGTATCTTCCTGATTGAACAATTCTTCCGTCTTTCATCACCTATAGAATTGTAATTAAACATAAGCTTTAATATTGATCAAAAAAGGGTTGAGTTGCATACTAATCTGAGAGCACAATTACCAGAACGACGTCTGCTGCATCCAAGAATTCCAGCTGATGGGTTATGTATACCACAGTCTTCTCAGACAACATTTGCATGAGAGCCTTCTGCATAACATGTCCAATTAACTATATAAGTATATACGTAAGCAAATTATATATGATAAGGGGAAAAAAAATTATATAGAAATCAAGAATTTCATTGATAAATCATTCTTTTGTATGCAAGATTTTACATCAGTTCTTATATTAAATGAAAAATTCAGTCAAAGGAAACAAAGAGAAAGCTGTAATACTTGCCTTGAACAGGTGTGCACCAGTGAGTGCATCAACGGCGCTGAATGGATCATCAAGGAAATAGACATCTGCATCACTATAGATTGCTCTAGCAAGCTGAATTCGCTGTTTTTGACCTCCGCTTAGATTGATACCTCTCTCTCCGACTATACACATATCAGCATCAGTCCACATCTGAAGGTCTTTGGTCAAGGCACATGCTTCCAAAACCTCCTCATAAAATGCCTTATTCATGTCCTTCCCAAACAATATGTTATCCCTTACTGTACCAGTTTGTATCCATGAATTCTGTGGAACATAGGCTTTCGTTCCATACACCTTAATCTCCCTGCCAGAGATTCTTGGAATTTCTCCGAGAATGCTACAAAGCAAACTTGATTTCCCTGAACCAACTGACCCACAAACAGCAACCTTGCAACCCTTGTCTATTTTCAACTGCTCACTTATTCTGATTGTAGGTTTTCGTGCATAATGATTGCTAGTGTCCCAAGTATATTCTCCACTCTCAATATCAAGTGCAAGTGTAGATGCTCTAAATTTACGGTATGTCAACAACTTCATCTGATCTTCATCCCTTAGGAAGTTCTCAAGTCGAGCAACTGAGACCCTTGTTTGAGCTATCATTGATATCAGTTCTGGCAGATTATATATGGGCTCTTGCAAAATCCTAAATGTAGCAAGGGCAGAGAGAACAGTTCCTGAGGTTAACGGTGTCTTCACCAAAATGCAAACACCAAAGGTAACCACTGAAACTAATGTTGGCGAAGCCCAAAACAAAAAAGCAACCGCAGAACATGTGTAGAGATACTTACTCAACCAAGACTTCTCGGTGTCTCTCAATTTCAAGATTCTCTCCATAAAAGAAGATTCCCAAGAATGCAATTTAAGTACTCTCATGCTCTTCAAAGTTTCCATAGTAGCTTTGATTCTTGAGTCTTTAGCTTCCATGATCTTGGAATGTAGCATCTCTTGCCTACTAGCCAACGGAATGTTGCAAACCATCACCAAGATCGTGGAAGATAGAGCAGCAATGGCAGGTGCAGCACCAAGATTTATGTATAGAATAATTAGTGCAAGGGACACCTGCAAGGGAAGTAGCCAAATGCGATGAATGTATAAGAAGAAGTCTCCAAGTCTCTCAGCATCAACGTTTATCAAGTTGATGATTTTCCCATTGCCTTGTCCAACAGCATACAGTTTAATGTTGAGAGACTTCTTGTACACCAAGGCAATGGTAGCTGCTCTAATCCGAATACCAATGCGAGAAGCACCAAAATACCATTGCCTTTGTGATAATGACTCAATGCACTTAGCAATGAAGAAAACTACAGGAAGTGTCATGCCATCATGGTAGCTCAAATCATCAGCCTTTGTTGAAAGGTAATCAACAAAGTGGGTGATGAGCAGAGGACCCATATACGAAGCAATAGTATTGGCCCCTGGAAAAAAAATAATTTGACCACAGTCTTAAACAGAACAGCATGAATATACAGCAAGATCAGTACTACAAATCAAAGGCGAAGATTCCTAAAATTCGATTATGTAGTTCAATAAACAGAGAACCATACCAGCAAAGAAGGCATTGGTGAGCAAAGATCTCCACATGCAGCAAAATACAGCATTTGACAAGGAGAATACATTGATCTTCTGCTTTCGAAGCGATTCTTCCAACGAAGATGAGGCATTTTCTGCAGTTTCTGACAGAGGTACTGATGGGATATCAGCTAAAACCAGCAGCTGACTCCTACCAAGTCTAAAAAGTGGATTAAGCCACGAAAATGCAATTTTACTCCAAAAACTACATTTGCTGAAAGCAGGCAACTCTTTAGTACTACTCTCTTGCTCTGGAGGCAACAAGGGCTGCTCGAGCTCATGTACATAACTTCTGATACAGCAACTATACAACCCATTGAAACATAAAAGAAGTGACAAAGGAAAACCCAAGAAATCAACAAATTCGGCTTCTGGGAAATCTATAATGTTCATGTCTATAGATGTTAAATGGGTTATAATATAATGTGTCACCAAAACTATATAAAAAACCAAGGAATAGACCCACCATACAATAAGAACCAAAGGCCATTTCTTGTCTTCTTTGAGAATTTTTTCTCTAGAATAAACAAGAATTATGGTAGACAAAACCCAAGTAAATGCAGTAGAAATTGAACTGTATGAGATAGTTATATGGCACCAAAACAACTCATACAAACCATAACACAAATATAAGATGGACAGTATTGAACTGCAAAATGGTGTTATTAATCTAGTGTACAAATTTGAATCATTTCTACCATAACTTGCTAACATTTCTGTGGATTCTACTGCATTATATCTCCTTCTAATCGACTTCTGCAATAATTCAACGAAAACCCATGACAAGAACAATGTACAAAACACTACATTAGCTACCTCAAGAACAACCTCCATTGATAAACACTCTAAAACTCTCTGAAAATCAAAACCCGTTTTTAGAAACCTGCAAAAAAGCCATTGGAATCAGGCTTAGTTAATTAATATTGGAACTAACAAAAAACCCAGTTCAGATTACAAGGCCTAACAACCTTGTGAATATATAATAAGACTTGAAAATGAAATAAAAACTATATAGTAAAATTATATATGTATCAAAAATGATTATGTTATGATTACCTGACTAATTCAGATATGAAAACTTTGGAATTTGAATCAGTTCAAAGATTATAGGAGGAGAATTTTTCACTAGCACGTGGCTTTGAGCAGTAGTGAACAAACTGATCTATGCTTTACACAAGATGGCTTGTGTTTTGGTATGGTCACCTTTATATTTTTTGATTTATTCAACACCTAATAAATTTAAAATCATCCTAGAAAATGAATTTTTGTGTAACATAAAAACAAAAAGGGGACCATATTTATATTTATGAAATAGTAGATACTAATCTACTGCAGTATAGTGAGTGTACTTTCTTTCTGATTTTTGCTCTTTGTGTGACTAAACATGTGTTACATGTCCATATTTATAGCAATTATTACGTGTGACTTTACATATGTCTTCACCTTGGTGACATCGACCTTATAACCCACGGAAATGATGGAATGGATAAAGATAAATATCGCACATGCCTATCTAGCTCAGTCGATACTAAAAATCTGAGATTAAATTTTGTTTATATAATTTATATTTGTAACTGTTACTCTAAAGATGTACAAAATAGATAATAGTAATCTTAAAGTAGACAAAATGACAAATTAAGGATGAGGGAGGTGTCTAACATGTATTGAAAGTTGAGAGTTGTTCAACGAACTAGTCTTTTGTATGAATTGTTTGATTGATTTGTGCTTATCTTTGAAGCTGCATCAAAATAACAACAAAGGAGTAAAAGACAAACATTTTAGTTGTAGTGTATTAGCTAGTTTTATTGTAGATAAATAATTTACCTTATGATTTTAGTTATATTATACGAGTAATTTTTTTATTAATTTAGTTGTTATGTAGATCATTGACTGGATTTCAACATCTTAATTATTAATAAAATGTACTTCGTTTTTTTATTTCTTATATAACCTCGCTCTAAAAACAAATGGTGCTAGCTAATTAAAATGCTATTGGATTAGGTTCAATATATTATTTTAAAAGTAAAATATTATTTTGTAAATTAATAAAGATATTAATAAAATTTGTATTGTACATTGTGTAATTTATAAATTTTCTCCTACTATTGTTTGGATAACCCAATATCCAATTTCCAATCTAATATCTTTACCTACCGAACTAGTGGAATGTTGGTTGGTCATTTGATCTTTTGTACACATGGGAAGAGAATAATATAACGTCATTTCTTTATTTAAGGTCCACTAATTTATTTGTTTTTGAATAATTTTTTTTTGTCAAATGTAGTAGAATCAAATCATACATACTCTTATAATTCACTGGTACTTGAAGCTAACTCTTCACTAAGTGAGTAAGGAGCTATTTTCTTCAGCTTAATTTCAGTTCAGTTCACTTCAGTTCGGGTTTTAATTTCCTTCTCTGATAAACAATTCATTTCAACTCTATTCAGTTCAGCTCCAATTAGTTCAGTTCAATTCAGCTCATTTCAGTAAATTAGAACAGACCCTAAGTGCCACTCTAGGCTAATGTATATTCAATTGTCCTATCAATTCATTTCACTATTAAAGGGTTCTTTATAAAATCTAGTTATTTCTCACCGGTTGTCAACTTTTGATTAGAGCATTTTATTGGGCGGAAAATATAATAGATCAAATACCGCTTATAATTATTCAAAAAATAAATAAATTAATAGACCTGAAATTGGCTTATGTAATAGATATTCATAATTTTATAGGGGCCTTTGTAATAAAGTCACTTATTCTATTTGAATTATCTCAAAGTAAAAATAATAATAATAATAATAAAAGTTAAGATTCACCATCAAAGCTAGATTATTATACTGATTTTTTTTTTTAAAAAAAAGCTAAATTATGATATTACGCTTATTAATATCAATAAAATAAAATAAATATCAGAAATTAAATTTTGTCTAAGTATTTTAATAAGTAATCTATGTGACTACTGACTCCATATCAAATTACATCAAATTCTTTTTCACAATTTATCATCCATCACTAATCACTCTCTCTCTCTCTCTTTGTTTCATAGCTTCTTAATATCTTCTATTGTCCTATTCAACTTTTAATTTTCTTCTCTTGTAAAAAAAAGTGTTTATGTTAAGCTAAGAGAATAGTGGTGAAGCATCTTCTCTAAGACTAGAGATTAAAGAGAGTACGTGGAAGATAAAAGAGGGCGTGTGCATGCTCAAAGCCAACCCACTATCCATGTGTGCCCCTCACGTGCTCTTTTTTGTCCTTGGACGTGTTTGCCAATTACGAGTACAATATTGACCTTTTATTTTGGGAACTTTCATGGGAAGGAAGAAGCAAGTCCTCTTTCCAATAATTACCTTTGCCCATTCCTTTGATTATCTCATAATTTTTTAGTGTTAGAATAATGTCCTCATGTTAATATACTGGATATATTTTTACAGGCAAATTAGCCGGATAAATAAGAATTATAGGATATAAATAATTAGTACAAAAGTATAAATAGATGTTAATACGTAGTACTTGTATTAGACAATTGGGGAATGTATATGAATCATATACATTCACCAATAGTCTAATTACTCTAATACAACGTAAAGATGTAGTGTGAGTGAATTACACTCATTTTTCTAGTATTTTAACTCCGTGGATTTATGCACAGAATGGATAAATGAATTAATAATCCTACAAACATATAATATATTGTTATTTTGTCTTCGTCAAACCAAACTAATCTTAATGGCAGCTAATTAACTAATAAGTAGTAGTATTATACTAACAATAAGTACAATTTTAGGTATTTGGAATCTCAATTTTATATACAAGTTGGTCACTTTCAATAGAGTTATGCACCTATAATGGTATCTATTTTGTGATATATATACTCCCTCCGTCCCACCATAATTGGACATTGGGGGAACACGTAGTTTAAGAAAACTACAAGTGGATCCATTTAAAATATTTGTTTATTGTATAAAAGATTCTCTTTTATATTTTTATATTGTAAGAAAACAAGAAGTGGGGTGGGTGAGGAGATAGAAATGAGGAAAAATGTATTTTTTACTAGTGATCTCATTTCATATTTAGTAATGTGTCAAGTATTGTGGGACGGACGAAAATAGAAATTGTGTCAAGTATTATGGGACAGAGGGAGTAGGTAGTTTAGATGATTAGATCAGTGCATATAAACACTATCTACAATCTACCCAAAAATAAAATAATAGACTACCCTTTAATTATTATTTTCTTAAAAATATATACTCGTACTTATAAAAAGAGTTATGATTCCCCTCTAATCACATAAGGGTAAGGAAATTAGAATCTCTTTGTAGGTTTATAAATCTAGATTCCAATTTTATTCAAAGGCATGTTTATCGACCAACATTATTATTAGTAGTGAATTAATATACTTAATCAATTTTAATGAGTAAAGCCAAAAGGAGATCCCTCAACTTTCACCAAAATTGCATTTGGGTCCCTCAACTTGGTTTGAACCAGTCCCTCAAAGTGGATGGCATTGAAATTGCTAAAATTTAACCCAACCTGCTAACTTGCTAATGTCTGGTAGCAATTGATAGTCACCTGGTTTTTTTACCAAAATGTTGAGGCTAAGCTCTCTAGCTAATGCCTGATAAAAGATCAATGGCAAAAGAGATTCAATTCCCACATGAAGATACTCAATAAGGCCAATACTTGTCATAAAATCGGTCATCATCAAAATTAATTAAAATGAGTAACAAGTCTCATTAGTAGAGGTAGGTGATTATTGTGTATCAATTGTTACCCGAATTGATATCATTATCGGATTGGATATCCATTAACCACTAACAAAATACCTATAAATCAAACCAATAAATACAAATACCCGAATCTTCAAGTTAAATATTGGATCCGATACAATATAAAGAAAATATTAAAGATTTTACCGATAGAAAGTTTTTTTAATCAGTGAAGGAAGAAGTAAGAAGTAAGAAGAAGTGAAATTGTAGTAGTGCTCCGGTTGTATTCTTGCTTGTGTCATTTTACACTTACATGGCATTATATACATAGCCATGAGTTATACTAAGAGTACAATAATTACTCACATATAGTCATATGAGTTCACAAGTGTTTGGACCTATATGAGCATTGTATAATCAAATCAATAATTGGCATTCACCTTATTAGACTTATTTTCTAACACTCCCCCTTGAATGCCCATACTCATATAGAAAAGAAAAAATATATGTTGCCTCATTAAAAACCTCGCTAGGTAAAACTCTATGGATATAACCCATAGCTAGGGAAAAAGAGTACAACAATATAAACCTTGTCAGGAAAAATCCAGTGGGATAAAAACCCGATCGAAGGAACAAAGAGTGCAGTGCATATAATGCTCCCCCTGATTTCAACATAGTTCACGAAGATGTCGCATTCCAATTTTGTGAACTAATTGCTCAAATTTCTTGGAAGGAAGTGATTTGGTGAACAGGTCAGCAAGGTTATCACAAGACTGAATTTGTTGGATATCTATTTCCTCATCCTTTTGCAGATCATGTGTGAAGAATAGTTTTGGGGATATATGTTCTGTCCTATCTCCCTTAATATATCCTTCAGTTACTTGAGAGATGCATGCTGTATTGTCTTCAAAAATGGTGGTTGGATTTTCTGTTATTGCTTTCATCCCACACTCTTCTTGGATATTACTAATCATCGACCTCAGCCATACACATTCTCTTCCTGCTTCATAAAGGGCTATTAACTCTGCATGATTTGAGGATGTTGCAGTCAATGACTGCTTTGTTGATTTCCATGATATTGCAGTGCCGCCATAAGTGAACAGCTATCCATTTTGTGACTTGGCATTTTGAGGATCCGATAAGTATCCAGCGTCTGCATACCCAATGAGAGCAGCATCTTGTTTCGGTTCAAAATATAAACCAAGGTCTTGTATCCCTCGTAGGTATCGGAGTAAGTGTCGGAATCCCTTCCAATGTCTGTATGTCGGTGCATTGCTGTACTTGGCTAACAAGTTCACAGAGAAAGCTATGTCGGGTCTAGTGTTGTTAGCTAAGTACATTAAGGCCCCAATTGCACTTAAGTATGGTACTTTTGGACCCATAATTTCTTCAGTTTCTTCTCGGGATCTGAATGGATCGTTTTTCATATTCAAAGAACGAACAACCATTGGGAAGTTGATTGGAGTTGCTTTGCCCATGAAGAATCTTTTCAAAACTCTTTCTGTATAGTTTGATTGATGGACAAAAATACCATGACTCAAGTGCTCAATTTGCAATCCAAGGCAAAATTTAGTTTTTCCAAGGTCTTTTATCTCAAATTCTTTCATCAAGTATTTTGCAGTTTTCTCAAGTTCATTTGGGGTTCCG